GCAGCAGCAGCCAAAAAAGCTAATACAATCCTGGGTTGTATAAACAGAGGCATAGAATAAAGATCACACAAAGTATTAGTACCGTTTTATAAAACCCTAGTGAGACCACATTTGGAATACTGCAACCAATTTTGGTCACCATACTACAAAAAAGATGTTAAGACCTTGGAAAAAGTTCAGAGAAAACCAGCTAAGATGATCCAAGGCCTGAAGACTAAAACATACGAAGAATGGCTGAAGGACTTGGGTTTGGCTAGTCTAAAGAAAAGAAGAAATAGGGCAGACATGACAGCAGTATTCCAGTATCTGAGGGGTTACCACAAAGAAGAGGAGGTCAAATTATTCTCCAAAGCACCAGAGGGCAGGACAAGGAACAATGGTTGGAAACTGATCAAAGAGAGAAGCAACCTGGAATTAAGGAGAAACTTCCTGACAGTGAGGACAATTAACCAGTGGAACAGGTTGCCTTCAGAAATTGTGGGCGCTCCATCACTGGAGAGTTTTAAGAAGAGATTAGACAGCCACTTGTCTGAGATGATATAGGTTCTCCTGCTTGAGCAGGGGGCTGGAGTAGAAGACCTCCAAGGTCCCTTCCAGCTTTATTCTATTATAAAAGCCCTTCAAGTCCTTGGAGGAAAATTGGGGTAGGATTTCCCCCCCCCCAAAAAAACCACACACCTAAGTAAAGGGTCAACCAAAATAAGCAATATATCATCTATGGGCTTATTTTGCACGTCATATAAATATTTTTTTTCAAACGAATAAGGGATTCATAAAAAATCTCCCTCAGTGATTCTTTGAAGTTTGTTGTGCTTAGTAGTGGTCTACAGAGATATCTTTGGAGCAAGTAGAGATTTCAGCCATAAGTATTCGGTTTGGAAAGAATCTCATGGGTAATGATTAATTTTATAGAAATAATGCATAATTCTTTTCTGAGGTATCGCCTTAAACCACTAAAGAGAGGGAAACGGAATAATAACTCTCCAAACCCAGGAGGTTCCATTTGGAAGAGGTGACTATTTATGGGCAATTAAGCTAAATGACTATTATTGATGTTTCATTACACAGCTCCAATAGTTTTCCACAAAATACTGAGACACAATTCAAAAGTCAGTCTGAAAGAGGTTATAAAACCATTCACATCTGCAGTTGAGGAAAAAGAGGCAGGCAGATTCTTGTCCCTTTGGACTCTGGTAGTGAGTTCCATTCACTAGAATGTGCTTGTCCAGCAGGATATGTTCTGCAAACCATGTTGATTTCAACCAACGAAATGGCAGAACTGATATAATTATGCGTGTTAACTGGATGTGTTACTAGATTTTGTAGTAGATGGGAAATAGTCTCTCCATTTGCAGTGGTGGGGTTCTAGACAGTAAGTAATAAGGCTCCTCTAGAGAAAATGTTGAGGGAAGTGATCATATTGTGGTTGATGGTTGGCATGAAGTGCCAAATAGATGCCACAACTTGCCCCAGAAGTGATCCTTCTCATCTCCTTCATGAATGGTATAAGCCAGGAAACCTCCTCATTGGTGGGATCACAGCTCAGGTTATATATGTGCTTGAGGAACATTCCTTTAAGGAACATCCTTCACAGAAGTCATTTATGCCCCCTCTGTAAGTAATTCTCTTCCTGTTTTTCTAAATTAAGCAGAGTAAATTGTAACACTTCACACCAACTTATAATCAGTATTATTTCTAATCAAAGTTTCCAAAGCATAGCCAACGTTTCAGCCTCACTAGTAGCAATGTGAGAAGAGCATTATTATTGTGAGGAGTTATGGACATATTTTGATTTCTCCTTCATATTAACAAAAACCTAGAGGTTCACCTAGCCTCCTTCTTTTCTACTCTTACTAAAGATGGGGGGGGAGATTTTCACGTAGATTCAAAGCTTCTGTTGATGTGAAGGTCTCAGACTTTTGATTCTCATCCTGGAGTAGTCAAGCTTGGGAGTGGGGGGAACTTAAAATCCCTTTGTTTATGGTGTGCTTATTGTCTTTGGATCCAACCCCTCCCCCCAATTGTCTGGATCATTGCTCTGATACTTGGTAAACCAGCCTCAAAGAATCTTTTGGAATCTTAAAAACCCCTAATTGTATTATTGGATATGTTTTTGTGGATCAAGTTAACTACAGTAATACAATAGTTACTTCACAATGGTCTTTTTTGATGAATATGATCCAGGTTGTTAGAGTCATTGTGTATATTGTTGGGATATGATAATGATTGGCTGGCTGCTGAATCAGTCTTTGCATAAAATTTCCAAAAACACTTAAACGCTTCAGACAATATTGCAAGTAAAGAATTGGGTCTTTTGGATAGTGGTTGACCACACCTTCTCCATTGAACCTTCACTTCCTTCCTTGTATTCAAATTCTACCATGCTTATAAGGGTCTCAGTGTCCCCATCTGCCAATTTCCTACTCCAAAGGAATCATCTTTGCTCTCTGTAAGAATCTGCAGATGTCTACTTTCGTCTTGGAAAATCTATGCAGGCTTATAAAATGCACAATCTGATTCCCATCCATCTCTTCTTGTTTAATGATGAAAATAATACAGTATTTTTTTAAAAAAGCTTTTGATATCCTCCAGATGTTTTGTGATTGTTAATAGAACCAAAAAAGGTCAATCCCACCCCCTTAAGAAAGATGTCAGGTGAAAGTTGCCCAGCACAGCTTTAATTGAGAACAGTCTAGTCTACAGCTCTGAAATATTTTTGATAGAAATCTATTGTAGCATCAAATCTTGGAATCAAAATATCCTAAATCCACATTGGGGCAACTGAGATTTGAAGGTTTCTCCTTAAGCAGAAGAAACTTTGAGCAGCATGGCCAACCTAAGGCAAGTGGGTTTGTCTGATTTATCACAGATGATCATTAAAGCATTAGCATAGGTGAGATCTTATTACTTATAAGAACTGCAATAACAGGAAACCAATATGATGAATATTATACGAGGAGAAGGAGAAACAAGTGGTCAGATTCAGCAGGATCACAGAACACCCTGTAACAATGAACTCCAATAATTCAATCAGGCTTTAACAGGATTTAGCATTAATGATAAAAAATAATAAAATAAATAATAAAATAAAATAAAATCAGCCTGTGTTCTAGTACCAATAAATTGCACATATTTTCCAACAAGTGAGTCCAAAGATACAGACCTTTGTTTCGTGCTACACCAAATATTCCTCACTGGTGTTGCTATCACATTATTTCTATTGTTAATGTTGCCTCATTGAACACATTCTGCTTTCATCAGCCCCTCTGCATATCACTTATTTCTAAATTATGTTTTCAGAGCCATTTTAAAATTGTTTCAGCATTCCTTGAATTTGGCATTTGCTGTGGAACAAATCAACTCAAACACAAGACTCTTGTCTAACGTTACTCTGGGATTTTTCATCTCTGACAACTATTTTGATGCCCGGCTGACTTACCGTTCCACTTTGGAACTGCTCTTCCGATCCGATCGGTTGGTTGTCAACTACAGGTGTGATACCAAGGAGAATCCCATTGTGGCCATTATTGGAGGATTTGGTGCTGATATCTCATTCTTCATGTCAGATATCATAAGTCTTTATAAAGTCCCTCAGGTAAGATATGTAGGAAAACCCATCCATCTGGCAAAATTGAAGAGAACGGGGAACAATTCTTTTCTAAATAGGGCTTAGATTATGCTTTAATGATGCAGTAAAGAGCCTGATAAAGTTTAGGAGTTGGATTTAAGCCCTATCTGATGCATCACATTGGAAATAGAGGACAGAAGTTGAGAACTTAAGCTGCTCGTCTAGTTGCGACTTGGCTGAGACTATGTCCATCAAATTCTCTCAGCCAAATTGACAGGGCTGCTTAGAGAGTTGCATATGTCCTCTTGTGTGCCTGAAGGGAAAGCAGGATTTAAATTGAATTGAGAAAAATAAATCGCATTCCATTTATTTACCATTTAGTCGATAGCAATCATAATGGTGCAAGATTCAGATACAATTGGGAATGGAAGCTCATGCAAGAAAAGACCTTCTGTGGGTTGTTGAAGAAAATACATTTCTCAGGTTAGTTGAGGCATATCAATCATAAGAACCAAGTGTACATTTTATTTTAGCTCGCCTATGGCTCTTTTGCTCCAAAGAAGCATGGGACAAAGATGGCTGCTTCCTTTTACCGCATGGCTCCCAATGAAAGCCTTCAGATTGTGGGGATTATCCATTTGCTGAAGCACTTTGGATGGACATGGATTGGTCTTTTAATTATGGATGATGACAGCGGAGACAATTTCCTCCAAGCCCTGGACCCACTTCTTTTTGAGAACAGGATCTGTTCTGCCTTTGTGGAGAGAATACCCAAACAAGTATATTTTTCTATGTTTCAAAATGTTATAGTGTATAAGGTATGTCATTATTTGTCCCATACCGATATCAATACATTCATCTTCTATGGGGACAGCACCACCCTGATGTTTTTGTTATTGTTCCTTAAATATTACGACAGTTGGAAAGGAGTGGGAAAAATATGGATTTTGACAGCTCAAATGGATTTAATGTTAACAAGCTTTCATCGACCCTCAGATCTGCAATTGTTTGATGGAGCAATTTCCTTTGATATTCATTCCAATCAACTGCCAGGATTCAATGAATTCCTTGGGGCCATCAAACCATTCCAGACCCAACGAGATAGCTTGCTGAAAGAATTCTGGGAGCAAGCCTTTGATTGTTTGTTTTCAGAGAGCAATAAACAGGCGGAAAATGGTGAAGCATGTACTGGGAGGGAAAATCTAAAAAAACTTCCTGCAAATTTATTTGAAATGACCGGCCACAGCTACAGTATCTACAATGCAGCGTGTGCTGTAGCACACACGGTTCTTCGCATGAACTTACTTGGGTCTAAATACAAAAGAGTAACAGAGAGTAGAAGCGTTGAACTTGAAGATCCACAGACATGGAAGGTAATAACTGGTGAATAAAAGCCCTATATTTCCAGGAGTAGTTTAGTAAAGGTATACCACATTTTTTTATTCAATCTCAATTTATTGAGGAGGTAGTGAAATATACAAGTCCTGTGGAAACTGACTTCTTCACTTCTGTAGAGTGGTTGAAGCTAACAGGAGACATGATGACAGTCTACCAGAAGTTGAAGGACTGTCACCCCAAAGAGATTGTGGGTTTATATCTCAGTGAACCACAAGTAGTTTTCTATTTCTATAAGTCCACATTTCTTTCTCTACTTTGAATAAGAGAAAATTACAGTTTCTACTGCCAAAAGATACATCCGATAGGTTGGTTGAAATAGAATAATGGAATAACAGAATAGAAAGGGAACTTGGATGTCCCTTTCAGAACCCCATTCAAGCAGAAGACCCTATACCATTTCAGTCAAATGGCTGTCTTCTTCAAAACCTCCAGTGATGGAGCACCCATCACTTCTGGAGGCAAATTGTTCCACTAATTATTTGTTCCCCGGTCAAAAAATTTCTCCTTAGTTCTAGGTTGGTTCTCTCCTTGATTAGTTTTCATCCATTCCTTCTTGTCCTGCCTTCAAGTGCTTTGGAGAATAGTTTGACTCTCTTTTTGTGGCAGCCTCTCAAATATTAGAACACTGCTTTTATTAAACTAGACATACCCAATTCCTGCAAACATTCTTCAAATGTTTTAGCCTCCAGCTCCCTAATCATCTTTGTTGCTAGTTTAACAAAGAGAAGGATGAGGGGGGACATGATAGCAGTGTTCCAATATCTCAGAGGCTGCCACAAAGAAGAGGGAGTCAAGCTATTCTCCAAAGCGCCTGAAGGCAGGACAAGAAGCAACGGATGGAAACTGATGAAGGAGAGAAGCAACCTAGAAGTAAGGAGAAACTTCGTGACAGTTAGAACAATTAACCAGTGGAACAACCTGCCTCCAGAAGTGGTGAATGCTCCAAAACTGGAAGTTTTTAAGAAGAGACTGGACAGCCATTTGTCTGAAATGGTGTAGAGTTCCTGCCTGAGCAGGGGGTTGGACTCGATGACCTCCAAGGTCCCTTCCATCATCATCATCATCATCATCATCATCATCATCATCATCATCATCATCATCATCATCATCATCATCATCATCATCATCATCATCAATCATTATTATTATTATTATTATTATTATTATTATTATTATTATTATTATTATTATTATTATTCTCTGCACTCTTTCTAGAATGATAAAATAACAAAAATACTGCCTTCCCAATCTCCATGTAGAGTCTTCAATTATTGGCCTTTGATAGAATCCAGCTCCGGAAGAGATGTTAAGCCATGACATAAGTTATTTTGCTTTTGAATCTAGTTTTTTGGATTGCAGATGTCCACTATCACAATGATGTCAGTATGATCACAGATGCCCCAGTTTTCTCTCTGCTCTGGAAGCCCATAATTAAGAGTTGTGCAGTGTGTCACAGTTAAGTGATAGTCATACTTAAAACAGCTTGACATAAATCGGTGGGAATTAAGTAAAGCCATTTTCATTTCTACAGATATAAATTTCAGGAAATCTTTATGTAATACAGTTTGTGCTTCCCCTTATTTTTCCCCCCTCTTCTTTTTACTTAGTTTCACTCCTTTCTCCAAGGCCTTTCATTCAATAATTCACTTGGAGAAACTGTGTCCATCAGCCATCAAGGAGAAGTGCTTTCTGGATTTGACATTACAAATGTGGTCATGTTTCCAAACAATTCCTACCATAAAGTGAAAATTGGAAGGGTGGGTACCACAGCACTTGACAGAAACAAATTTGTGATTCATGAAGATTTAATTGTGTGGCCCAAATATTTTAAGCAGGTATGTATTTTAAGGTATTTTTATTATTCTGGATAAATGATTTGGGGATGAGACATGAGTTTAATGGTACAGCCTGCTTTCTGATCCTTCAATCAGATAAAATTTAGCACTCTGTACTCAAGGTATGGCTGTATTTTCCTGCTCTGAGGTAATTACAATTGGCAAATAATTTGCATTTTTTTTATACAGGGAAGATTGGGAATTATGCTATCATCCCAGCCCCAAGGGAACAATGAAATAAAATTCAAGAAACATTAAATAATAAATATAAAATAATAAATATAACAATAAATATAAAAATAATTGAGAATATAATAAAAAATGCTCCCACCCACTTTGGACCAGTGATCAGAAATTTGAGAATTAGTGGACTAAGGAATGTATATCCAACTTTACTGTGGTTCACACAGCAAACTTTTGAGGTAGTTGTGTGGGATCGCAAAATCCCGGGGTCCCGCTCCCTGCAGGACGGTGGTGATGTACGTTGGCCTAAACCAACGGGCCTCGCTTTAGATCAGGAAACACACGGGCAACATGCTTCTTCAGGTGAGATGGCAGGCAAAGACCCTCAAGCCTCTCCGTGCCTCCCTTTTATTCGTACATTAGCATAATCAAGGGGGGGGTG